AAAGGTGATTTAAGCAGTTTTAAGCGTGACGTTGTTGTTGGTGCTGAGTCTGAGTCTGGTCTGAGTATTTCACAATCTGCTCAGTTACTTTACTGGGATTTTCACACACAACCATTTTTAGGGTTTACAAAGAATGGTGTGAAAAGGGAAAAACATCCAGTATGCAGAAGTCCTGTGGGCGAAGATGCCTTGTTGATGCTAGAGGTCAGAGGAGAATGGGCCGACTGATTCAAGCTGATAGAAGGGCAACTTTGATTGAGATAAGCACTTGTTACAACCGAGGAATGCAGCAAAGCATTTGTGAAGCCACAACACACACAACCTTGAGGCGTATGGGCTACAACAGCAGAAGACCCCACCAGGTACCACTCATCTCCACTACAAATAAGAAAAAGAGACTACAATTTACACGAGCTCACCAAAATTGGACAGTTGAAGACTGGGAAAATGTTGCCTGGTCTGATGAGTCTTGATTTCTGTTGAGACATTAATGGTAGAGTCAGATTTTGGCGTAAACAGAATGAGAACATGGATCCATCATGCCTTGTTACCACTGTGCAGGCTGGTGGTGGTGGTGTAATGGTGTGGGGGATGTTTTCTTGGCACACTTTAGGCCTCTTAGTGCCAATTGGGCACTGGCCCGTTTAAATGCCAAGGGGTACCTGAGCATTGTTTCTGACCATGTCCATCCCTTCATGACCACAATGTATCCATCCTCTGATGGCTACTTCCAGTAGGATACTGCACCATGTCATAAAGCTCCAATCATTTCAAATTGGTTTCTTGAACATGACAATGAGTTCACTGTACTACAATGCCCCCCGCAGTCACCAGATCTCAACCCGATAGAGCATCTTTGGGATGTGGTGGAATGGGAGCTTCGTGCCCTGGATGTGCATCCCACCAATCTCCATCAACTGCAAGATGCTGTAGTGATTTGAAGTTGTATATTTATACACTGTAATTAGATAATTTAATTATCTGATTTTGTATATTTATACACTGTAGTTAGATCTAAGTAATCAATCAGAAGTGGTTGTTTTTATCATCAGGGAGTTTACTTAAACACTCTGTATTGACTGAGAGACAAGAAAAGAGAGAGAGTTGGGATCGTTTAAGAATATTTAATTTCTATAATTATAAATTCTGACAATCTACCAGGACTATCTCAATGATGTATGCATATGGATTTAGATGTTTCGTGTTGGTGTGTGTGTGTGTTTTGTTCAGAATCTCTAGGCTGACGTAGCGAATCTGGTTTGTTATGACTAGGCTACCACGAGGCTTTAGAAGCTGATGACATGAGCTGCCATTTTGTGCCGTGACCACGTACCATATGGAGTCTCCCGTGTAGATCAGCAATTGCCAGGTTCTCGGACCTTCAGAGGTACTGGAGCTGGTTGAAACAGCGGTCACAGCACACAACGCCCGTCTGAGGATAACTCCGGTAGTAGTCGGCAGGCGTCAGCAAGTTCACTCTTATTTTGAAGGAACGTTGTCTCGTTGGTACAAACGACGGAAATCTCCAGCTTGACAGTTCTCAGCTTAAAACAGGAAATACAGCTGGCCAGCCTGTACTCCTCTTTGCGGTGATGGATTGAGAGCTGGTTGAAAACAATGTTGAGAGTATGATGTAACTCCTTTGGAGCTCGGATCGAACAGAGCTGATGTCAACGTGGAACACTTAACGTGGAACTGAATATAAAATGGCGTTGCCTTCTTTTATATCTCCTAATTGTTTACCAATCTTAGTAAACCGGATTGGACACATTAAGTAAACATCCCAGATTCTCTCTACGACAGACGAAAGTTCTGATTGGTTGAGAATAATGTATCATGCGTTTCCATGGTAATGTATATCAGTCTGTCTGGTGCCGTCCTGTTTATTCATTTAAACACATAACTCATGACATCTTTATTTCGCAGATCATTCACCTGATTATTGATTATCAACAAATGCTTTGATTAGCTTATCACAAATAAAGTACTTTGATTAATCAATGAAAAGCATTCTTCTTCTGTTCTGTCTCTTCTCCGGGAATGTAAACATACTGAACCAAGCGTCCGACCTTGGTGATGTTACTGTGTGAAGGGGCAGCTGTTAAGGGCAGACCATTATAAGCTTCATAACGCTACAATGCTATCCTATCAATATGGGCTTTCAGCACCTTGTTGAATCAATGCCATGTAGAATTAAGGCAGTTCTAAAGGCGAAAGGGGATCAAACACCGTATTAGTATGGTGTTCCTAATAATCCTTTAGGTGAGTGTAAATGTCTTAGTGTACAAATGTACATCCTTTTTTAAATCATTTATATTTGTTTTCAGTTTTTGCTCACTGGGCTGTGATTGTTGGAGACACGTGTTGCAAGCTGTTTTAGAATTGATGACATGAGTGCAGTTGTAAGTTTGCTACCAAAATCTGCAGCATTAGATGAATGCATTTATATGCTTCCAGAAATGCTTTAATACAAATGTTTTATGCGAATCTAGGGCAGGTGTGTCCAAACATTTCAAGACGAGGGGCAGATTGTAAAGGCAACGCTTCTCTTGGGCCGAAAAAATTTGATTAATTGAAATTCATAAGGTACAAAAGAAGATTTAATAGTGATTTTTTTATTTTATACTCCAAAATAGGGTAGAATTGAGCATATTAGTACAAACTTGAATACTAAAGACACATTCCGCAACTTTTACACATTAAAATAATGTTTTTTGAAAGTTTTTGGTGCCATACTATCATCTATTATGTTCATTTTTGGAGCTGTGATAGTGTTATGGGGTCCCACCTCTGTTTACCTCACAATACAGTTTTTGACCTGCGGATTGCCGCCAGAAGTAACGACTGTGTGTTGCTTTACGGCAGTATCACATATACTCCATAGACATAAATACGTAGACGCCCCATTGGGCACCAGAGAGCATAAAGCATTGCCGCCATGTTGGATGGGTCTCATCACCCAGCAGCAATGCCTTTTTTGTGCAGCATACGATTACAACCATTGGCATACAATTGAAAACAGATCATGTGGGATTACTAGTGACTTTTCTAGCCTACCTGATAGGATTTCATATTTAAAATTATTTTGTTTAATTATTTTTATATTTTAATTATCATGCCATACCTTGTATTTGATTTTGTGAAAAAGCATAATGAAATATATTTTTTAGTTGGGTAGCACCTTCTTTAGTAGAAATGAATGCGCGGGGGGCAAATGGAAACCCATCTAAAATGGCGGCCAGCCACTACGGCAGCGCCAATCCATGGGGCGTCTACTTATATATGTCCATGGTAGACCCATGGTTTAGAGACTTGAGCAATGGCAGATCCACCAAAGAAGCTAGAAATCCCTTATCAGAGGAGTCTAGGAAAAGAAAAAGAGAACACGACAGAGCAGGAGCAAAGACCAGAGTTAATAATGGGCCGGCTTTTCCTCGCTTTAGAGCTCTTCTTGAAAGAACGGCATACACCACGGACTCTGACCTAGCTTTGCTGCTAATGAGTAGTATGGTGTCACCGGAGTTATTGTGTTTGGTCGGGCATAAAGTTGTTATACAGTCCTGATGAAACACTATTCAATGCTGAAACGACGCTTAATGTGTTTCTTTAGTCATGTGAGTTGGTAAACAGCCAGTAAACATGCCTCTAATGCACTACAGAGAGATGTGATTTTACGACAACAACGTTACACAGTAAGTCTTGAGAGGGCGACAGAGAGCATATATATATATATATATATATATATATATATATATATATATATATATATATATATATATATATATATATACACACACACACACACACACACACACACAAAGTTCTGGAGTATGTCTTTAAATGTTAGTATCACTTCACGTCAACAACTTGCTGGAGACAATTTTACAAATACAATCGGTACCACACGAAATCCCTAAAAGGGCTGTAAATAGCCGCTGTGCCACACGTTTGACCTGCCTGATCTAGGCAGATGGTTAGAGTTCAACATCTGACCTTGTTTTGACGCTGATGGCTAAACTCCTCAACAACTCATTAGTGGTTCCCCGTTTAATATTTTCTGATAATTTAAAACGTTCCCAGGTCTTAAAAAAGAGATTAACACAATGCATAGGAGGAAATTCAACAAGAAGTTGCTGCTTATCATTCTGGGAACTTTTAGGGCTATTTACAAACGATTTAACGTTTCAGCAGAGTGAAAAAATATTTTCCAGTCAAAGATAGTTTTCAGTGGACGCAGGAAGTTTATCCCTTGGTCAGATCATGCAGTGCTCAGAGAATTTGCAAATGTAAATAAGTGTTGGCATCTGAGACGACCCAGAGAGACAGTCTGCAAATTTTCACTGTTGCTCTAGATTTTTCGCTCCATTTTCATATTCTCACGCCATTTTGTTTTTATTAATACTGAAAATCGGTGTGTTTGTAAAACTTGTTCTTGTGAAAGGTTTATCTCTGAGCCCTTTACTGTTTATTATGCGCTGATTTGAACTGAAAGATGTTCTTACCTTTTATCCTGAGTGTACGTTTGTCTTCACCTCACTCAGCTCTGACTGAGCCTCTGTCAGATTCCTCCTGACTGACCCTTTTTACTGGAGCCATTATTCTGAATACTGACTCATCGGGACTTGTTCCCTCATCTTCTTTTTATTCACATTAAATCTGAAGGCATTCAGACTTTAAGTGCTGCTTCCTTTCAGTATTTTTCTTTTTCTTCTCAATAATGCTGGCCCAAATGTTTGCATCGCCAAAAGGGGAATTAGTGTTCATTTTGAGATTTGAAATTACTAGGTGTGCATCATCACAGCATGTACAAGCCTGAAAGTTTTGAGTAAGAGGTGGACTCAGTATCTCTGACAACCCCAAAATGAAAATTTGACTGGCATGTATACCTTTTAAGGTCTTTATAAATCACAGTTTCAGCGTTTCATGTCGCAGAACTTTCTGGACTAGTCAAAGTAATATGATATACCTTCACTTAAATCTGTATACGTTTCCCCTGACAGGTCTGCATGCATTGAGAAGAGCCCTGGGAGCTTCACCCCAAACATCAGACCAGCAGCTGATGGGGACGGTAATGGTCACTCTGAAGGACCTTCAATGGGCCATGTCCATTGTGAAGCCTAGTGCCATGAGGGAAGTTGCTATTGATGTCCCCAAGGTACAGCACCGGTTGCCATCATCACTTCTTCATGTATCTGTCTTTCTTCTTATCTTTTTTATTTTACAGGCAAAATGTAATGTCAGAAGTTGGATTTATGTAGTTCAGTCAGTGCAGTTGCATTCACATATAATTCGAGCTATGGCATTAATCGACTTAACACCTTAAGCAGAATGTTAGCTCATATCCTAGTTTAGGAAGTGTAACTTTTGAATGAAGGCGGTAGCTGGTAACATGGGCCCTTTTGTGTCAGTATCCTTCTGGTTAGCCTATAGCAACACACAAATAGAAAACAAACACTGGCGTGAGTGAAGCCAATGGATTAAAAGCAGGAAAAGCACATTGGCTGAAGGACTAGACGACAACAACGCTGCAGCACTATTTGATGGTGTGACCCTTCTTTCCACCTGACGTGAAAGCAAAATGCACTACATGGCAGTTAGCCGCCGCTATAGTGGACGGTGTCCTTTCCACCATTAGCAAAGGGTAACGTTTTGGTTGTGTCCCAGAAGTGAAGGAACGCTGTGATTATGTTTCAAATCTATTTTTTATGCGCTACGCTTCTAAAAGATGTCAAAGTCTGCAGTTTAGGTAGGATCAGACATGAAGTCAAACACGAAAGCAGTGTAAAACATCGGGAAACTTTCAAAATAAGAGTCATGTGCAGATAAACGTACATCAAATCACAGACCTTTTAAGCCACAGAAGTTTTTGGATACATGCAGCTGTCTTTCTCATTGTTTGGTATTGTGTGGACTTCTGAAATCACGCATGGTATTGCGATTCTCCTGTCATTTTGTGACTGTGGGATCAGCGGCGTGGAACGCTTTCGCTCTCGTTTTACGTCTGCATCACTCCCGGTTGGAAAGGAGCTCATGGGTAAAATGCAGCTGTTACATTACACACCGCTTTCATGTCCGGTGGGAAAATGGAGTTACACTTCAGATTCATGCAGTCTTGTGTAAATGATAAGATTAGAAGACTGCATCTGTGGTCTCATCACTTCCAGAAGGGGGAGTGCACAGGTCGGTCATAGCTCAACTAAGCTAGGATGTCAAGAGAAATTATTTTTTAACGACGTTATCTGGGTGCCTAAGCTTGATTAGTAGTAGGCCAGTATGGTTTGACTTCAGACAAACTAAGTTGTTTACGTGCATTCTAAAAGTCTGACAGTTGTTAGAATAAGGAAATGATTTGTCCTTTTTTTCTTTACTGCTTATAAACACGGAGTGTCCGTAGATATCTTAAGAAATACAACTGCAATAACTCCAGTCTTTACCTGGTGCTTGTTGATCACAAGAATAAACCAACAAATCTGATTGTTGTTTCACCAGCTATTACTTAGAACTAGAGAAACCAGAAACTGATTTTTAATGAAACTGAGAGGTTGTATCAGTACATCTACAACACCAGCTTATTTCATTCTACTTCCATAGTATCTTCCTAATAATATTATTATTATTAGGGATCCACATTTAAAAAAAATTCTTTAACTGGCTATTGACGCCCCTTAACGGTTAACTCATTCACTGCCAATGACGACTAAAGTCGTCATTTTAAATTCAACCATTCACTGCCAATGACGACAAAAGTTGTCTTTGCATTTTTTTACTGTGTGGGCGTCGGAACGAGCCCTCGCACCGTGAGAACAAACATCTCAGCTCTAAAGCCGATCTTCATCCGCATACGTCACACGTCATGTGATTAGGAAGCAGAAAATCCACGTGTTAGAAGATCGTTTTGGGTCGCTGCTGTAAAAAAAAGTGAGGCGCAAACTGGAAATGCTTTTGCTTATCACAATTCAACAACGCATTATGAAAGAATGGATAAAGCTCGAAATGCACGGATTCTTCCTGATGTAAGAGGTGAGTCTCCGCTTTGTTTTGGTTGTTTTGGCGCCAACATCATCCTAGCGTGCAACGTTCTGTGACTCTTAAAAAGCAGTAAAAACAGTGAGAAACACTGGCAGCGAAGGGCTTTACCGATCAGGAAACGGCTGGCAGCAAATGAGTTAGTAGCCGGTTAACCGGAAACCAACACTTGATATTTCTTTGTTTTACTAGACAAATTAGGAGTCAGACACAAGGACCGTCACGGCACACTGACCTTTTGCTGGTCTCGGTTCAGTTTGCTGCGCCATGTTCTGCCAGGCTCAGCGCTTTGATGTGAGGCTTATTGAGTTCCAAGAATGAAATGACTAAGAATAAACTGCTGTAACCGCTTTGATAACCGCTTCGTGTTTGAGCACATTTGTTTGGTCATGTGACAAGCTCATTTCTTTTTCTGCGGTGGCCCAGTAAACATATTTGATAGTGGTGCTCTTGCGCCCTCTGGTGGCACAAAATATATTGTATCCCAGCGCAGCAGAATAACTTGAAGCAGTTAACCGGGAAAAACTAGTTTAATGTTTACAACATTAGTGTTAATTAACCGGTTAACTATGTACATCTCTAATTATTATCTAAAATCCTACCATGTCGGTCAATTTAGATCTAGTTTCTATTAAAAATGATGATGTGTTCTTGCAGTACAGGAGATATAAAACAGGAATTGTTATATTAAGTTAAAATTTGGTGGTTTAGTCATCAGCAGAAATTATGAGTCCCTACCAACATGTTGCCTTAAAATGTTTGCATTAATTGTTGGAGTCCACCCCATTTCTGTGTTAGCAAAAAATGTCATGAACAACTGGGCAAATTTTAGTGGCATGTTTAAAACATTTTAGTGGATGTGCGTCAACTGCTCATGAGCTTTTAAATTTGACAAATTTCAAGATGGCCACAATAACCAATCTCCCACATAAATGGATACAGCCCAGTCAGTTTTACAGATACTGAGCTATGTCGTATTAGCTTAGAGGCCTTCAACATTGTTTTTCAATGTAAGCTCATCATATTTTGTAACTGATCTGAAAGGTGGTGAAATGCGTATTTTTTCAGGGGATAAAAACGTTTGATTCTTATTGGAATCTTTTGAGAGCTACATTGATTATCAGCATTTTGTCTCTTGCAAAGATGATTTACTTCATGCAGTCTTCAGCTCACTCAAAGCACATTTCAGAAAGCAAAATGTATTTTATTCAAAGCTCTTTAATGGATGCGGTGCCACCTTTTTTCTGTTGCACATCAAAAAATTCTCCTAAATCTTTTTACTGCAGTGGTCATTAGCACTTAAAGGATAGGATCAGGCTAAGGACGAGTGGAAACAACTCCATCGCCTTTTTACCCTCCACTACAAGGAACATTACACAACATCACTTTGTCTTAGCAGATGGAGGGAGAATGAGGGCTCAACAGTGGGGAGTCAGTGAGGGGAAAAAGGAATGAGAGGATAGCGGTGAGACTCCAGGATGTTTTGGAGTTTGCATGTGCAAGACATAAGGGACAGGAAGAAGGCTAACATCATCTTCCACCGGTAATTGAAAGCAGATCTGGTCGCTGACGGTTCCTGCCAGCAACTAAAAAAATAGAAAGAGAGAAGAAGAAACACACTTCCTGTCCCTTCACCTCAACCCGCCTCCCCTTTTTATCCTGCAGCACACAGCTCTGAGCTCACCCAGAGACATTCAGTCCTTGTGGCCTGTTCCTGGAAACAAGAGAGGGCTGAGTTTAGAGGTTTTTTTCTTTTCCTTTTTTATTCCCTTTGCACAGCCCAGCTGAAACGCCAGCCGCAGAGCCCCGGACTTGATTATATCCACATGGGTGCAAACATTTGTTTCTAATCCATTTTATATAAGAAACTTCCAGTGGTGCCGGATGGATGCATGCCCAGAGTTTCTGTGAAGCCTTTTTGGATCGTGTATCTTAAGATTTAAAGATTCCGTGTTTGACTTTACATTGAATTTACATGCAAATATAGTAAAAGTTCATTTTAATTAGCTGTTTCTCATTTGACAAAGAACTTGACTCAATTTTAACATTTTTTTGGCCTGCAATTTTTTTTTATAAATATGTTCAACTGGCTTTAATACTTGGCATCTAGAAGAACTGCTTTAATTCTCCCTTTAAAAAATGCCCCTCGTCTCCTGTGTGTGTGTGTGTGTGTGTGTGTGTGTGTGTGTGTGTGTGTGTGTGTGTGTTGTGTGTGTGTGTGTGTGTGTGTGTGTGTGTGTGTGTGTGTGTGTGTGTGTGTGTGTGTGTGTGTGCGCGCGCGCGCGCGTGTGTGCGTGTGTTTGAGATGTTCCGGACACCCTCCTTTAAGCCCCATCAAAGAGCCAAAGCCTTACAGGCCCCTTGTAAAGTTCAGAAAACAACAGTAAAAGATAATAACTGGTCCTTGAACAAAAAGGAAAGGGGGCACAGCGAGGTGTGAGTCAAAACATTTCCTTCTAATTCCACAGATGCTGTAATTGTGACAACAAAGAGTCACAGTTTTAGATTTAATTAAACTCTGAATTTTTATCTCTGGTGTCATTAGGATTCCAGTAACAACCAAAAACGTCTACAGCCAGAGTTCACCCATTCTTGTTCCTGTGAATGACATATCGGAGGAAACTTTTAAAGGTGTCCTAGAATTCTAAACCACGTTTAAAGAGCAAGTCACCCACAAATCAACTTTTTTTTTGCTGATAAACTAAATAAACGAGTGTCTAATCGTGCTGCAGACACGTGTAGTCAATAATTTGGCACTTCAGTGTATCTTAGTTAAAATTTAAACATTCTGCCTAAAACTGGCAGTGCTGTGCCGTTGTCAGGTAAAAACTCTGCACTGTATTTGAATTTTAATCTGCCCCCGCTATTGGCTAAGAGGTATGCTATGATGTAAACTGGTACATTATGATGTCACAATGCTGTTGTGAGCCTGTGTGTGTGTGTATTTGTTAGCGGCTCCGCCCTCTCAGTCTGCCAGGCAACAGCATTTGTTGCATTTTTCAAACATGAAGTGGGAGTGGAGTTAGACTCTGGTAGGGGGTGACTTGCTCTTTAAATAGTTGCTGTTTAATACAGGCATCTTGGGATGTCTAATGTAGCATACCAAGTAGCCTGTGCCTTCTCTGACCTGCTTTCCTATGCTAATTAGTAATGTTGTAATGCCCGTGGAGAAGCGTTTAGTTCTGAGAAAAGCTGACATGACATGTCATAAGCTCAAGACACACCACCTTACATCTGCATTTCCCTACCCACTTCTGCATTGTATAAATGACTACGTTTACATGCAGCCAATATCCGGGTTATGATCGGGTTAAGGTCGGCATTCGGGTTTCTGAGTTGATCAGAATAACCCGTTTACAAGCACAAATAGAAAGAGTTACCCCTAACTTGCATAACCCGATGTAAATGCGGACGTTGGGGTAGCGTCAGGACGTGTGGACTACGTCCAGACGCAATACGCGTCATTTCCGGTTCTTCTCGTTCCGGTATCCCTGAAAACAACAACATGTTTCCCAGTTTGGAAGAGATAGCGACCGCGTTTGTTTGCGCTTTAGTTCCCTCGTCACTCCGAAAGTGTGGTGCTGTGCTGCGACTCGCCATGTTGCTCCCAACTTGTTGTTTACTTCCGGTGTTCTGGCGCATACAAGATGTCTCGCTACTCAAAAGACCAAGATTCCTTGCGAACAGAGCATGCGCAGAACACACGCTTTGATGGGGATATCCCGGTATGCGTTTACACGACCAAACATTCGGGTTAGAAAAGGGTTACCCCAGGTGTAGTAACCGGGTTTTTAAAAACCCGGTTATGAGCATATCCGGGTATCTGGCGGTGTTTACATGGACCTGCGGAACCGGGTTATTGTGAATATTCAGGTTTTAAAAGGGTTACTGGCTGCATGTAAACGCACTGAATGTTAATCACGGTAATGCTAACCACTAACAATGCTAGCCTGAGCTACCGCTAATGCTAGGCCAAACTGCTGCTAATGCTATCCTGAGTTGCTAAAGCCCTTATTGGAAATGAGGAAAACAAAGAAGTATGTGGGAGCAGTCATTCCAGGATGTAAAGGGAATATTCAGGCTGCGAATGAAGAGCTGAAAGATCCATATCTTGCCCATTGAGTTGTCTGGATACTGTACATGACTGTACACAGTGTTACTAGACTCAGGCAGTGTCATAGAGCCATCAGGGAAACCGATCAATCAGCATAAGCTCATTTAATATTTATGTCCTGGCAAGTGGGTGGGGCAAGACAGACAATAAAGCATTATAAGGCTTTATTATGGAGTTGTTTGGCAATTAATCATTAGGGCTAAGCAAGCCCCCACAATGCAGATCTGAAATTGAATCAAACCCGGAAGTACCATAAATTGCATTTCCACCCTCATCCGCTGGAGGCTGGTGTCAGAAGCGAGCAAATCCTCATTGACTCCCATGTTAAAAATACCAATTTCCCAGCAGAAATAAACATGTTTACAGCCTGGTACCCAAAAAATGTTTTTTGTTTAAATAATCTAGTTTACACTCATGACAATTCTGAGGGGGTGAATTGTTTTCTCACTCTTCTGTTTAAGTGTATTAAAAGCCTAAAATTCTGTATAATTGATGAGCATCCAACACACGTGACTGCCGCTTCAGACCCACGTGACCACAGAGCTAGCTCCGTGGAAAGGCCTCAGTAGAGCCTCGGTCTGGCTTGGAAACTGCTCCGGCATTTTGAGTGTCTCTGTTTGTGTATTCGTTTTTGGATATTTTTGTGCAATTGTTGGACAAAATGACTTGCTGTGGCATTAATTGCACTAATAGAGCGTCCAAGGAGTCTCCACTTCATTTTTTTCGGTAAGTTAAATTATATTTATGTATTTTAGGTCACTGCCGCCTTTAAACTAGCTGAGTTTATCGAAGTAGCTAGCTAACTATCATTTTAACATGTAGCATGTACTGTTTAACCATGAAATTTAGATGTAAAATACGGTAAAATTATTAATAGGGCATATTTCGATGGGTAAAAGAGTAAAACCCAGTGCATTTAACATAAAAATGGGTTGTAATATGACGGAGCTCTTGGAGGGACTCTTCTGTGCTCCATTCTTCCACCCGGTTCTCCCCAGCGGTCAGCCCGGTGCATGTCTGACCGATGCAGCGCCTACTAGCTGCTGCGCGGGCTGACGGCTTGTGGAGCTCTCGGACTCGAAGAGAGACCTGACCGCAGAAATACTGCAGCTCAATTCCCTACCTAAATGCAAAGTTTGAGAGACGTGGTTCACTTAATTCCGCTAATATCAGTCTGCACTGCCTTCGGGCTAATTTGACAAGTTCACAAAATGTGGAACGGGATGTAAGGTTAGAATCAGCGGCGAATCGGAACATATCTCGAAGCCCTGGCCGACGAAACGGTCCACATGACTGTTACTGTCAGGCTTGGAGAAAATTTGGGATGTTTTTGTGTCAGTCGATTCTGCAACAGTGACTCGAACTAATGCAGCACTAGTTGACAGACGTCATTACAGCGTGACCCGGTTCTGTGAGGAATTCTGTTCAGGAGGTCGCATTTCAGGCTCTCCACATCATATGCGACTGACTTTTACGTTATAATAACGGTCACACACTAGGAATGTTATAAAGCACCTATATCTGACAGTTTCTTTTGTATATTATCTGACTTTATAAACTCCAACAACAATGTGCTTCTATTTTTTTCAGGCTAAATCTACCCAAGACATTGGCTGTCAGACTGATTTAGTAGTCTGCAAGAATGCACTTGTCCAGGCTGATGTGAAGCCTTACCCATAGCAAAGGTGAATTATTTTTAATAATCGTCTATGTAAACATTTTATTATTATCTTCTAGTTTTAATTTGTTTTACAGATTATTGTTACATGTGATTTTATGCTCTTTTAAACATTTATAAATGTGCTGTTTCTTTGTTTTTTATACAGCCACCCAGTTTAGAGCTCCCAGCTGCTGTGTGTCTGGTGACACAGGGACCATGACGGAAATTCATCTTACAGAAAGTCTGGCTCATCATTTAGCCAGATTTCTAAGGTATAGGCCAAAAATGTTTAGGTTAGTTTTGATAAGGTCTGTGCATCTCTCATTTCATGACGTAACTTTTCATATTTTAGTTCCTGGGTGCCTTCAATGTGCAGGGACTGTCCAAGCAGACATTCTATCGACATCAGGCAAAGCTCTTAATTCCAACAATGAGCTGGCAGTGGCATCTAGAGCACGCTGATATCATCCAGGAGGCTACTGAATTTGGACCTGTGACTCTTGGTGGTGACATGCGAGCTGATTCACCTGGTGAATACGTTTAAATTTATTTATTTTATTCCTTTGCTATCAAATGTAAATTAAGTAATAACTTGCATTTCTGAAGGACACTCAGCCAAATATGGCAGCTACACCATGATGGATCTCAAAAGAAACAAAGTTATTGATATCCAACTCGTACAGGTACAACATTACCTGATGATTCCAATACATTTCTTGGTTAATTATTCACAGATCAATGGAGAATTATGTTTATTTTCAGAGTAATGAAGATGGAAATAGTGTGCAAATGGAGAAGGAGGGATTTGTGCGATGTCTGAGCACACTTTTGGAGAGGGGGGTCGATGTGCAGCAAGTTGTGACTGACCGCCACGCATGGGTGCAGAAGTATTTGCGGGAGGAAAAAAAGGATATCAGTCACTACTTTGACCCCTGGCACATGGGAAAAGGTAATCTTTGGGGATGTATATAGTGAATATTACAGGATTTTTTTTTTCTATTTTAAATGTGGGTCTGTTTGGCTCTCCGTGAATTGGTAAGAAAATCGAAGAGCTGGGGAAGAGAAAGACGACCCAGGATGTGAGACTGTGGAAGCAAAGTGTGGTGAACCACCTCTACTGGTCAGCATCCCTCTTTATTCCAGATTGGTTCAGCATTTACATGCTAATGTGGCGATACACAACCCAAACCAATATTACAATAACATAAACTCATACAGAAAACGCTCCTCTTGATAGAGCAAATCTGTTCAGCACATTCTGACTGACAGACCACCTTTCTTCTGTCATGTTGCTGTACAGGACATTTTTAAAGTTTTTTCTTTTTAAAGATAAATAGTATTACATTTAAAGAGCAATACTTTCACATTATCATTTTCCCACACTTTCTGTATACCTGTATTTTGTTGTTTTTCAATAAAGAATGACAAATTGTTTAAGTTTATGGTTTTTTTAGCACACAAATATCTATCTGTAAAAAATATCTACAAAGCTAATATTTATATAACAAGTATGATTTGGTTTTGCAATACAGCACTCTGTTTATTTTAGTAAGATTTTTAAACCAAGTAAAGTTAGTAAAGAACACATTTCTATTGGCTGCTAAGAAACTGTTGGACTTAAAACAGGCCTGTTGTAGAAACAACTTGGCATGAATGATTCTTCCTTCCTTTTTTGTCTTAACCAAAGAAACTCCAGTAATCGAGCAAAAACATTTATTTTTTACATCACATTTTTTAAAATAACAGGACACAAAGTGTCAGGACATTTAAAAAATACTTAAAATAATAAAAGGGTCCCAGAGAGCTGCAGAGTGAGTGGAACATTGGGTTGTGAAGGAAGAACAGTTCTCAACAGTGTGATATGAGGGTGTAGAAGGTGAAGCCGGTGCAGGTCCTCAGTTATGTTCACCAGCTTCACACTGCTGACCACCCCCATGTCATTGCCGCCACAGTGGATGAGAAGGACATGAGGAGCTGCTCTTCCATGCAGGGAGTGGAAAAAGAAGGGGAGAAGGTCTTTCCACCTCAGGCTGCCCCAACCGAACCAGGAGACAAAGACGTCAGGGAGGCCAAGGTTGTCTCCGAGGGTCTCTGCAGCTCTCTGGGCACCACGCCTCACTCAGCTGTCATCAATGATCCAAATGGCTATGGAGAAAAAAATAACAGGTTTGGCCTAGCTGTTTAAAGTACAAAACCATACATGAAGTGGTCAAGACAGGTATTTGGAACTTACACGCTGCGTTGTGTAGCTGACGTTGAAGACACACAGGCTGCCATGGTGACCTTTTAACAGATCTAAGAAAAAATGTAATAAAAGAATGAAACTTAAAAACTCCCAGACCTCATTTCATGATTGCTAATCAGCTATGGCAGATTTTTTGTTTGGATCACAGTGAGTTACACTAATTCTAATATATTTTTATTTCTATTATACATACATACATACTTTTTAACTGTTATTTTCACATGACTGTTATCAGGCTGTCTTGTTCTGGTTCTCATGATAATAATTATGTTTCTTCCAGTAAGTTATCTTGTGCTTACTTCATCTGTATAATGTCTCTTTACTTTTGGTGAATTGTACTGAGTCCATAATAAAGGCTACTTGGCTGTACAAGATACAAACAAGTATTACGTTTTGGAGATATATGAAATGTATTTAGCCTGCTAATTTATCTCAAATACTATTAACTACCGTATTTTCCGGACTATAAATCGCACTTTTTTTCATAGTCTGGCCGGTCCTGCTACTCCGGAGCGACTTATACAACAAAATATGAAGAAGAAGAATGTATTTCTATTGCGCCTCTCAAGATAAAAATCACGAGGCGCTTCAATATGTAGCCTACACCGCGCTGCTGCGGGCCGACTCATGAGTTCCCCTGTCCCGCTGGGAGGGTTTCAAACACCGCCTTCCTCTGCTGGAGACCGTGGCGCGCTGCTGCGGCGCATTATTCGGTTATTGTTACTGGTATTTGTCTTGCAATGTGAAACACTTTGTCTCAGATTTTGGAAGAAAAATAAAATTTCCCCCCAAAATACGACTTATATATGTTTTCTTCTTCTTAATTATACATTTAATGGCTGGTGTGACTCAGGAGCGACTTAATAGTCCTGAAAATACGGTACGTGAAAAATAGTGAAAACTTGCTCAAAGGAAAATATATTTTCATTACGGAAGTAGCTAATAAACTTACCGATTTAATATTTTTTTATTCACAGAAAGGTACTTCTCATGAAAAAGCACCGCAAACCTCCACCTGAACTCCACGCGGTCGATGGGTGTTCCACAGAGTTAGCTCCGGTTGTAGCTAGGTGGCTACATCCGTTAGCTCGGCTCCCACCTCCGCTTTAGCTTTGGGTTAGCTTCAGGTTAGCTTGTAGATAGTTCGACCGGCTGTCGTCAGTTGATCCCAGCCTTACAGTCCCACCATCAGCTCCACCTCTCTTCCCTTTTTTGGAATTGTCTGGGCTTGACAGAACCTGTGACACGGTCAAAATGGCGGTGGTGGCCACCTCCCATTTTAGCACAAAAACTTATTATTGGAGTCTATGGAAAGCAGATGTCCAGTATATTTATGTCGATGGGGCTAAGTTTCCTATTGCACGGAGCTCTGTGGGGCAGGGGTGTGCCTGGCAAAAAAAGAAAAAAAAGACTTATTGTTTCCATTACATCACAATACATGATAAGATAATCACTTTTATGGATTTCTGAAAAACCAGGACCTTACTGGTTGACCAGGATATGTGGGGCTCATGGCGACAGAACCAGGAGTGACCCAGGATGAGGGGTGTAGCCGGGGCCTGAATGACCAGGAAGTGCAGAGACTCCCTGTGCTGATCGATGGTCATGCGTAGGTCCAGGGTTCGGTGGGTGAGAGGATATGGCAGGAGCGAACGGCCGTCCACTGAGGTGACAGGAATGGGTCGGTCTAGGGGTATCCTGAGCCGGGTGGCCAGACCCTGGTCGATGAAACATTCCGCGGCGCCTGTGCCCAAAAGGGCTTCCAGCGGGACTTGACCTTGGTCCAGGTGGAGGGAAACCGGGAGGGTGGTGTGATGTGAGACTGGAAGTGTGGAGACTCCGAGCGGGACAGCCCCTACTCTGACCCGGAGGGACCGTTTCCCGGTCGTCTCGGGCACGTGGCACGATGGTGACCCAAATCCCCACAGTAGGCACATCTTCCTTCCTGGTAACAGTGCGCCCATTCCTCGGGGGGAAGGTGTCCCAGCTGCATGGGTTCCTCCATTGGTTGGTTGCCCTGACGACGGGGAGACAGCCTGGTGTGGCCGGGCACCGACATGGAGCTAGGTCGGTTACGGAGACAGCGGTAAAGTTGGAGAGCCAGGTCCAGGGAGGTTGGGGCCTCACGGATATGGAGGGGACAAACCCTCCAGGTAAACAGCCTTAAGGGCGGCGTCATCCCAGGTCAATCGAGCCGCCGTGGTCCGGAAGTGGGAGGTGTAGTTGTCCACCGTCTGTGAGCCCTGGCGGAGCTGGAGCAGTCGGGTCTCATCTGCGACCTTGCTGCTGGGATGAACAAACGTCTTCTTCATCTCCTTCACGAAAGTCTCATAATTGTTGCAGACAGGAGACTTCTGGTTATAGAGGGCTGCCGCCCATTCACCGGCCCGACCCGTCAGCAGGGTGACGTGAGAGCAGGACGTGGGGTAGCGTGCCAGCAGGCTCGAATGTCATGGCCAGGGTGGCCAACATGCCTTCTGGAGATCCCCTGGTCCCATCCCACTTGTCTGGGAGACTGAGGCGAGGCTCCATTTTGTCGCTGGTGGCCGAAGCTTGTCGTTGGAGGGCCGCGGAGAGCTGGACGGTTAGATCGGTGAGAGACTCGAGCTTGGATGCCTGGCAATCTACTACGGCACGAAGCTCGGTTATTTCTGCCATCTGTAGATCGGCGAGGGTGCACAGTTGAGCTACTTCTGCACGTAGATGAGCGAACTCCGTGGGGTCAACCTTAGACTCAGTCATCCTGTCAGGTCTAATTTTCTGAGCTAATTGATAGGTAATTTAGATTTATCCCATATTACCTTAAAGGACGACACACACAGAGAGAGAGAGATTATTTGTAATGTCCATGAATCGTCATGCGAGAGCTGGGCGCAGAAACCCCTCCATGGAGCTAACCAGCCCCCCTCTGTTCCAGCCTCAAAGCCTTCACCTTACCATGTCTGCATACCCGTATTCTCCATCAGGAGACCAGAATGCTAGGTAATATTTAATCTCCATAACCCTGGAACCTGAAATAACACACATGACAACAAGGAAGACATTTTACCCTGAGTCCCCAAAAATATGGAGAGTTAACGCAGAGAAACCTCCTCCGAGGCTTCCCCATGTCACTCCCCCCCTGCTCCTAGTTCGTCAGGGGCTTTATTCACAACAAAGGATGGGGGAGAAGGCGGGGCCTTCTCAGGTTACAGAGTTACAAAGGTTGCAGTTGCAATCAACATCCTTGCTCAACCTTTCATGAACAACAACAGTTGGCAAAAACAGAGATTCATACAGTGTCAATAACACAAAATTGGCATCTTTTAGGCCTCAAAAAGGTACAATTATAAAAATACCCAACACTAATGTTTGACGGAGGTTAATTGTAGCGTGGCTGTGTGACCCAGACACGGAGTGGCTGACGGTGGGTAAACAGAACACGCGGCTTTAATCTGGGAACGGCGACGCAGCGCTTGGCAGGAGCTGAGGCTGAGCGGCGGTTCCTACTGAACAAGGAAGCTGACTTACT